AATTGAACGTAAATTTATTTCAAATACTTTTGATATTCCTCAGAAAGTAATTCTAATCTTTTAGTTATAAAAACCTTTAGAAAAACATTAAAATTTAGTAAATATATTGCACTTTCTTTAAACAAAGTTGAAATAATTCAATTAAATTACAGTTTTCTTCAAAAAATATATAAATAAAAGTCATTTTTACATAATTGAGGCATAAACCTTGTTTCTCTAGCAATTTTGTTGTTGTTTTATTTAAAGTTTAATTGCAATATTTTATGATCATATTGGCAGTTTAACTGAAATAATTAATGCTAGACTAGATGATACGCTGTACTTATTTGTATTTACAAAGAATTCGACTGTCAGTTTCAGGCTTTAGTTACCCTTTACAGGGTATTCAAAGTAAGCTGTCAGCTCTGCAAACTATCTCTGGAATTTGATAAAACTACCTAAACAGGTTTATATTTGCATTTAGCATATTCTTAAAGCTCTTAAATGCTCTCCATTTATACAACATTTTGAGCTATTATGCATTAAAATTATTTTCAATTTTAATTTTTGCAGTTTCCTAACAATTAAATTGTTTTCCTTCGGATCTTTTCTGATTGATCATTACAGGGTACTTTGCAATTTATTAATGTCATAATTTTTGGTCTTTTATATACCCTTCAAACGGACTTAATTTTTGTATTTTTCTCGATTAACTTCCTTTCCGCAAAACTTGATTAAAAAGCTGCTTTCGTGTCGGGTGCAAGCCCCTTTTCCAGCAACTGAACCATTTAATAACGAACTTAATTTACACCTTGAGCCATCATTCATATGCAACACCCCCGTCGTATCTGGCTTTTATGCCTTGCTCCATCGGCAACGCCCACCATTGGACGACAACGACGACCTGGTCCAGTTTGTACCGGAGCCCACACCTCTATCTAAGTCTGGGGAATCAGCTGAAGTTCTGTGTGCAGTTGCGGTTAGTTGGCCAGTCGCAGTCGCAGTCGCAGTTGGAGTCTGTGTGGATGGTAGCAGCAACAACAACAACAACAACAACACAGACACCACACGTGCCACATGTGCTGTCAAGTGCGCAGCAGAACAAGAACCGAGCACGTCTTCGTCTCCCATTGTTGCCAGTTGGCGGTTCTTGGTATTTGTTCCACCTTTATCTGTTGTTGCTGTTGCTTACTCGCAGCAATTTGCTGCATCCACATTTACAGCTTAAGATAAAGTCGCAGATGCAGTTGAGGATGGAGGCAGCGGCACAGGCAGAGTCGGCGTTGGGGCAACCTTCATTGAGTGATGGCGACCTCAATGCCAGCCACACGTTTTGTGAGGCTGCGGCTGCTTTTTTCGGCTTCTCGGTCTTGGTCAAAGTTGGTTGCTTGGAAAACCGCTTGGTAGCCTTGCCTTGCCTCGTTGTTGTTGTTGTTATTGTTGTTCGAGGTGTTGCTGGCATTGTACGTGCGGTTTTCCAAGTGGAAATCGTAGCGGCTGTAAATTTTGCAATCAAATAATTTTTCATTCGCTTTTTCCGACGCCAGCGCGCGACCTGATTTTTCTTTTCATTTTGGCCGTATAGCCACAGGAAAAAACCGACTGTTTGCCAGTTCTCTCAGTATTGGCCATTTGGTGTTTGGCTGTGGAAAAACGTTTTGACCTTTGCCGCTGCTTCGTGTTCGAACATTTAAACGGAAGTTGATTGCCGCCAAAGGTTAAACTCAATTTCCGTTAAGATGCCCAGCCGAAGTCTCTCACTTTGGCCCTCGTCGACTTCTTGTGGACCTCGTTTTTTTCTTTTTTTTTTGTTTTTTGCTGTAGAGTTAAGAACTCAATTTCTTAACTTTTGCAGCAGCTGTTGGAGCGTTCTTGTTGACGGCCTGTTGCTGTTCTGGCCATAAGTAGTTGTTGAAGTCGAAAAGTTCATTTCACTACGTTAACAAGAATTTGACTGCGGCATGGAAGAGTTAGTTGAACTCGCAGCAGTTAATATATTCTCCTGATTTAAGAGCTTTCTATCTAGCTAGAACAGCTTTTAATCATATGCATATATTTATATATATATATATCATTTCAATTCAATCTCAGCTGATTTATAATTACTTAACGGCATTTCAAGTGCGCCCACAAACTGACCGAGTTATGCATAAAAGGCTTTCAGCTCAGGGTCATAAAATCACTCGCTTGTCAAAAATTTGCACTAATTCATTCAAAAAACAACCGTTAAAATCGCCCAACACACACACACACACACAGGTTACAACAAGCACTCAGAAAGAGTAATTATAATGCCCACAGCAATGCCCGTACCCGACCCGAATCGGAGCCCAAATGTGTAGCTCTCTGACCATAATCTGAAAATCCCATTTACAAGCTCAAATTACAATAGAGGCGCATTGTTTGCTTTCTTGTTGTTGTTGTTGTTGTGCGGCACACCCACGCAATTTCTGTCTGTGTGTGTGTGTGTGTGTGTGTGTGTAGGTGTTGGGGCCATTCAAATGCGAAAAGAGCAGCGAACAACCGTTACAATGTGGCTCATTAAAACAAAACAAAACAAAAAAAAATGTTGAGTAGCCACAGCAACAATAATAAAAGTTTAACTTTAACAATAAAAAAAGCAAACAAACAAAACAAAAATGTGTAAAAAGTGACGCTCAGTCAAACAATAAAAGAATCAGAATGTCTATAAAATATTTCACGCCAATCTTGTAGGCGCATCCAAAACGTCACTCAAAGGGGAGACAAACAACAAAAAAAAAAAAACAAATAAAAAATATCAGCAATAAGAAGAAGACAAAAAAAGGGATGGGTATAAATAAAAAGCCAACTAGAAGCTGAAGAGAACATGAGACATGCGAAGATAGAGGGATAGTGCAAGTAATGGCACCTAAAAACAAGTCAAGACTGTAAAAATCGTAGTTTTTATTTATTTTTTTTTTATATTTTATATTTCTTTTTATATTTTATATATTTTATTTATTTTATGTATCCGTTTAACAGTCACTTGATATCTAAAGCATAAAAGACTCACATGAAAAATGTTCAACTGATTAACACATATTTGCAATATTTTACAACACTGTTTGAAATTTAAAATATAGCCCATCTAATTCCACCTTTATGCTACAATTATTTATTTATTATTGTAAAAATAATAATTGTGCATCAACTATTTATTTATCATTACTTACACAAATTAAGCCTAGACGCATTGGCCGCCATTTTATTTTAATTTGTTGTGTGAGTGCACGCAAAGCTGCGCTTGAGCTTTGGTCGAAGCTTCGTGGCAGCTTCGTCTCGGCTCTGCCGAACACGGAAGTATGTCAGCAGGTCTCTCGTGTAACGGTAGTTTGGCTGATGCCGCTGCCACGCTTAGCTGCTCATGTTTAGCTGACGCTAACGTCGCTGCCGCTAACGCAGTCGCAGTCGCAGTCGCACTCACCGTCGCTGTCGCCGTCGCCGTCGGTTGCTTCTTCTGCTGCTCTTTGCGCCTCTTCTCAGGCTGAGCTAGCAACATGTTGCTACGACAACCTGTTGAAAGCGAAATTGTCTGTACTCTCTCACACGCTGACCAATGCCAAACAAGTCTAGCTGCGAGCGAGTAAGTATATTGGCCAATTTGGTGTTGTATGCTTTCTTCTTTCTACACACACACACAAACACAGAGAGAGACAGGCACACAGACAGCTATACATAAAAGTGGCCAAGCCTCAAAAACTCAACTTAACTGTTTATGCACAAAATAAGAAAAAGTCTTTATTTTTGTTGGCTCATTTGCTTTACCGTTCGCTTCTCCCAAAAAGCTAACACACTCAAATTCTACACTCGCACTAGCAATTGTTGTTGTTGTTGGGGTCTCTCGTCGATTTTCTTGGATTTTTTATTCAATTGGTCTTGAATATTTTGTAGTTTCTTATTTGAATATGAAGGCGGGAGGGGGTCACTCTGCACCTGTGTCGCATACTGCTTGTTGTTGTTGTTGTTGTTGTTGTACTTTCATTGTCGGTCCCTCATATCTTTGTCAGAGTGTGGAGTCTATCCATATACATATATATCCGAATCCAACTATGTAGCTGGGCTCAAGTTCTGCTGCGTCTCTGTCGCTGCGTTTATTTCTACCAATTTATATGCTAATTTAACTGATTATTAATGTTGTGACCCAAATTCCGTTTGGAAATTATTATTGGCCATTCTGGCTATCGATTTGTTGTTATTTTTTGTATTCCCCCTCTCCACCACTTGGCAGCGTCTTACCATGAGTAATCGCCGTGGAAATGTTTTGATATGCAGCTCGGCCCAAATGGACTTCGATTAATATTCGTATTTAGAGAATCCGTATTGGGATTTTTATTAAACTCAGATTAGGGGCCATCAGCTTGCTTGTCTCTCTAGCCAGCTGTCAGCAAGTGCAGCGGCCGCCTGATGGGGCAACTGTAGATCTTACAGATACTCAAAGATGGATTATAAATCTAACGGAAGTGACGTGTAAGCCGCGCTTAGTATAAACCGACATAGACATTGATGAATTCCTCAGATTTGACTTAAAAATGTGAATTGATGTTTAAAATACAGTTATTGATCTTATTAATCATTTATGGAAATATTCCGGCTAAACATAAATCTTATATACAGATGATCTTGTAGACACATTTTAAAATGTCTAATGCTTAAATTATTTAAATTCCACTCAAAGTCCTTATTTCCGAACAGTTCCTTTTGCTTGCACCGCTTTTTGGGACTAAAAAGTACATATCATTGCGAACTAATTGCTAAATACTCAAAGCTCCTTTTAGAATATAAAACGTAGTAGAATATTTAAATAGTTTATAGTATAATACTTACTCTTGTATCTGAACTAGCTGAGATGACCTCAAATGTGCTTTTCAATATATTTTCGCGCCTAATGATGGTATTTTTGTTCTTCTTGTATGTATTTTAGCAAGAACAGCTTCACCATTCGATATTTTCCGCAAGAAGAAGAACCAAAAATTTCTACAAATCGGCTGGGTCAACTGACAATGAAGTTGTGCAGCATGAACGGGCCAAGTGAATCAGAAGTCGAAAGCCTACTGATGAGCCCCTGCTGGGGACCCACACAGACCGGCAGCCAGGACCAATATCTGCTGGACGGACACAAGCTGCTGCTGGAGCACGACCTTGACTCGCTGCCCAGCGATGCGGACCAGAAGAACTCGCTGGATGTGCTGGACAATCTGCTGTTGAACAGCTCCTCGCTGAATGCGCTGTCCGACCTGAAGCCGCTGCCACCCTTCACCGGCTATACCGGCCACCTGTCCATCAATGGCATCTCCGGCCACCACTATCATGCGATCGCCCAGCGGCTGCCCGACGAGAGCAACAACAACTACATACAGAGCGCCTATCAGCAACACCAACACCACCAGCAGCAGCAGCACCAGCATCAGCATCAGCAGTCGAACAACGGCAATCAGAATGCGAATCCCACGTCCACAACGGCTGCGACGACGTGCAGCGGAACGGGCGGCGGCGGTGGTGGCAATGGCGGCTCCTCCCAGGAGCAGAATATCGTATCCTCGTCAACCGGCCTGCCCGAGAGCGTACTCAGCGCAGATGCGGACGCCTGCCTGAACGATGTCAAGCTCTTTGCCGATAGTCAGTTAGATTCTAAGCTCTACTCCGTAGCGGACAGCTGTGTTATGAACGCCACTGGGCACACAGGCGGCAATGGTAGCGGAGGCGGTAATAATGGTGGTGGTGGTGGTGTCTCCTCTCTGGCCAGCAGCGGATCCACTCTGACGCCCATCGACCAAGTGGCCGACTCGCTGCACGGCAGCGGAGTGCGCATCTACAAGGATCTGACCGAGTACGTGGACATGAACAGCATTGATGACATTGCTGCGATTATTGGATCTGCGATAGCGGACACCACGGTGCCCAATCAGCTGGACAAAGAGGAGGGCAACGATACGCGCGACAGTTGGATGGATCTGGACGCCTGGATCGATGGCAACTGCATACAGCAGGAGGGCAAGGTGCTCGTCTCGCAGCAGGATTCGCTTAGCGACTTTATGCTGCCCCACTCGCCGCTGCCGGTGCACGCGAGCAGCTCCACGCTGCAGAGTCTACTCAGCCATGGCTATATGCCGCTGCTGCAGAATCGCCTGCAGCATGGACCACCAGGCGCGGGCTCGACGGCGGCGACAACCACCACACTAAAGACCGAGACGCCCAGTTCTACCTCATACTGCAACGAGCTGTCGGCGGCCAGCAGCAGCTGCAGTCCGCCGGGCTCTGTGGTCAGCACCACGGACAACAATCTGATGATCAATCCGCGCTACTTGACCAACAATCCCAATTCCAGCCAGCAGCAGCAGCAGCAACAGCAGCAGCAGCAGCAGCAGTCGGCGTACCAGCTGACGCCCAACGGCGGCCTGTCTGGCGCTGGACTGAAGGACGGCGGACTGTGCAGTCCGGACATGCTGAGCAATTATCCGCATACGACAAGCACCACGAATGCGCCCTCTGGCACGCCCAAGGCCAAGCGCTCCAGGGCGCAGAAGAAGTCTAGCCAGCAGCAGCAGCAGCAGCAGGCCGGCCAGGGGCAGATCCAGGGCGAGAGTGGGGCGCCTCAGCTGAGCGCGATGTCGCCGTCGGGCGTGGCCAGCTTCAGTGCCAGCGATCTGAGCGGTCTGCTGGGCAAGGAGAAGCCGGTGCATCGATGCAGCATATGCAATCGGGGCTTCCTCAACAAGTCAAACATTAAGGTGCACCTGCGTACGCACACAGGGGAGAAGCCCTTCCGCTGCGACGTGTGCGCCAAGGCCTTTCGCCAGAAGGCGCACTTGCTCAAACATCAACAGATACATAAGAGAATTGGGCGTGACTGACCGCGGCCACATCCACAACCCGCTCGCCACTAGCAACAGCAACAAAAGCAGCTACTGTTTCTGCCCGCTGACGCAGCCACGCAGAGTACAGAGCACACAGAGCACGCAGCCAGATCCGCTGCACTGCAGCCGCCGTCTGCTGTCGCGCTTCTGTGTGCTGTGCCGGAGAAAGTGCCCGCCAACGCCACCCGGCCACCACAATCCGGGCGCCGAGCAACCGGCGACTGGGTGTGCATGGCCGGGTCTTTGGGTGCGGCAGCTTCTCGTGTATCGCATTGCTTGACCAAAGCCAGTCTGGAGCTGCTCACGTAGCCCACAGGCTGTTTGCCATCGCCCCCCCCCCCCCCTAAGAACCAGGGATGTGAAGCAATGCCATACACATAGCACTTGATATTCGTTGTTGTTGGTTGCTTTTGATCTCTTCGCTCTTTGGTAGTTAGTCAGTAACCCGGTTTAGTTAGGGGTCGGGCATCGGAGGATGGGTAAATGGGTAAATGACAGAACTAAATAGTTTAATTGGTCTGGATTCATTCAAATGTTATTTCATCGAAATTCTTCAATACGCATTGTTGATGGTATTTAATATCAACCTACTACCTCCACACAATTTCATTAGCATTCTCTTAGAACTAGAAGGATATCAGCTTTTTTGCGCTTGTTCGGATTGACCCAATGTGAAAATTAGCAGTAATACCTGTTGCATAATTATTATAAATTTTAATAGCAGATAGAAACTAGCTCTGGCTTATAAATTGTAAACACAAGCAAAGTCAATTGAGGCGCAGCCAACTTAACTGTGAGCTAAGCAAAATGTCTGGCAACGCCGCATTCCATTACTACTATAAGTTGGTCACTCTTAGAATCGATTTCCATTGAGAATGTTTGCGAACATTCGAATGTAAATTGTCTGTAAGCATAAACCAACTATTATGAATTCATGTTTTGATTATCGCACAGCCTACTTAAGTTATAAATGAAGTATTATAGATCGAAATGAATCTGGGAATGCAGCAACAGTTTAAAAATATTTACTATGCTTTCAGTCATATATTTGAAGTATTTGCAAATTAGTTGTCAATAATTTTATAGATTTTATTTTATAGACCTCATTCAATCAACATTTGCTTTGTTTTAGAAATATATACCATTTATTTTTAAATTCAAAAGAAATAGTATTTTAGCAGAATTCTCGGTACCTATCTGGTGCACTTAAAATGACAACAATATACTATATACGTATATTGTATATACGATTTCCATGGCAAAGAGACCACAAGCAATGTAAGAACAACGAAGCGTCCAATTGTCTTTTTGCAACTGTTGTTCTGTTTTGATGCAAACCTGCGCGCTTCGTGCACCTAAGGCCCTGGCACAGGTAAACACGTATAAATATTTAATAGAGATGCAAATGTAGCTAGAATTTAGCTAAAGTCTAGCCGAATGTTCGTTAAGTAATTGCATATAAGAAATTTGTATGTCTGTAATTTGTATAATTTATGTACCTCATTGTGTTGAAAAGAAACTCTAAGCGTTAAACAATACAAGCAATACAATTATAAATTAAAATAATAATATTAGGTAAATGTACAAAAAAAAAACAACAACACACACACACACACACACACATATATATATATATATAAAACTATATATTGTGTATATATATATATATTTATATATCATATATACTTAGCATAAGTTGTAGCGGGCTTGGCAAAATAACAATATGTGTTAAATTTTTTAATTAGAAACTAGAAATAAGAACTTAAATCGGAAACAAAAAAACAAACACACACAAAGCAAATTAAATACATAATAATAATAATGATGATAAAGATATTTATGAAATAGTAAAGTACTCAAGTAATAAATCTTATTACACTTACATTAAAAGTTGTTAATTTGTTTTTTAAAAATTTGTTGCTAAAGTTTATGTTAATCTTACAATACATTAAACGCGCGAATTCAACATGCATGCATATATGTCCAATAAATAATATATTAAATATATATTTATGTTCGTGTGAAAATCTTGGAAATATTTAACGCTACAAATCCTTAGTACATATTAAAACAAACGAATATTGTTGAAGCTATTTACTTAAGCGAAAATGCATTATGCATAAAGGCAATTACAAAAAAAAAACAAAAGAAAACAAAACACATATTATTTAATAAAGTAATTAATTTAAATAACTTAATCAATATTTAATGTTTTTTTAGTTTTGTGCAATTTATTTATTCAAGTTGAGCAACAAATCACTTTGTACTTCTAAACAATTCGATTGTAAATATTTATTTTTCTAATTTTAATGTTTACCCTTCTAGAAATACAAACTTTGTCATTTTAAATGTACAAAAATAATAATATTTAAAAAACAGAAAACATGTTGTGTGCTCTTGTTCCCTGCAAATCAAGTATACGTAAGGTTATCCAAAAGCAAGTCAATTATTAACTCAAATTAGATGATTCAAGTGATTCGAGTGATTCGGTTGATTAGGTGGCAACTGTGTGGTGTCCGCATTGCTAATGCCGCACACACATGTGCCGCCAGCAATTAGGTGGAACCTGACTTAGAAGCCAGTCTGTGCCAACAGAAAAACTGAGTAGGTGCGAGTGCCAGCACTCCAGCTCTCCGGCTCTGGCTATGGTAAAATATGCGGTAAGTTGAAGACGGCGACAAAAACAACGATGCCAACAAAAGCCAAACCAAACCAAACCAAGTCAATCCCAGCCGAGCTGTGCGCCAAAGCGAGCCAACAAGTCAGAATTATTATATTGACCACAAATGCCGCCGCAAAGAAAGCAATGCGCAGAGCTAAGAGCCAAAGGCAAACCCAAAGCCCACACACACACACACACTCACACGCACTCACACAGATACAGACAGCGACAGAGAGCGGCACGAATACAGTAACAAAATGCCATGCATACTGTGCCACTGACCTAATTTCCAGACTCGTTTTTTTCCATCGCTTCTTGCTCGAGCTGGAGAACCGCACGAAGCAGCCACAGCAGCAGCAGCAGCAGCAGCAGCAGCAGCAGAGGAGGCCGCAGCAGCAGAGGCAGAGGCAACAGCAGCAGCGACTAAGGCAGCCACAGCGGATTTGAAATGTTAACCGGCCTGGCAGCAAGAGGCGCGCGGCGAGGTGAGGCGAGCGGCAATGAGATACAAAGATACTTTGCCCGGTCGCATGCTCTTTCACCGCAGAGACGGAGATAGGAACGGAGACCGAGTCGGAGTCCGAGTCGGAGCCGCAGCTCAAGCTCGAGCTCGAGTTTGGGTTCGAGCCGCAGACACAGAGATAGCTTCAGCAATACGAGTCTGGAGTATGTTGTGTAGTTTGCATCGCATCCGCATTTCTATGCTGCTTTTGTATCTCAGCTTGGCTTCGTTTCAGTTTTCTTCAACGTAGCCGTCGTTGTTGCATGTATCTGTAACTCGTTTCTGTATCTTGCGCCTCGTATCTGTGGCACTTAAATTTATGCAACATCATGGCACTGTCTCCGGACTCCCCCTTCGCTGCTCGCGCCACGAGACGCAACCCCTTTTATAGTGTCCACGTTTTGTTCTAATCAAAATGTGCTACGTGTTTGTCTGCTCCCCCAGGTCGGGGGTCAAACAAAAATAATAAAAACTGGCAAACATTTTGGCCGTCGCAAAGCCAAACAACAAATTAACAATGAGATTTGCCGTAATTCATTTGGATGAGCATCTTCAGCTTGTCTCTCATCTTTTTGGCATTTTTAATTGAGTTTTATGCCAATTAAATGTAATTTTCTGCTCATTCGCATTCGCATTCTCATTCCCATTCTCTTCTCGACCCACTTTCTGGCCAAGATTCTGACGGCCACAATCCGACAAGTCAGCCAAGTCAACTCATTTGGGACAGTTATGGGCGTGGGTGCCATAACTGAGCATCGCAACAGCTAATCGCCTGCCATGGAGACACATGTACGTGGTTGTGAATCAAATGAGTTAAGCCAGACTGGATGCACAGACAAATGGATAGACCCATATACTCTTCATCATTCGGGGCAGGGTGTAACTAATATAATATAATGAGCAGGTTTTAAACTCACGACCATAAACGATAAGGATGGAATATTTAGGCAACAATCAAACTATCTCTTCTTACACATTAAACAGGGTATCATTTTTTAGGCAAATATATATAAAAGACAGAAGCAAGCATCACCGATCCGATAAAGATAAGGATTATATTGATCGGAACAAACAGCTGAGTCGACAATAAAAATCGAATTACAAACACCGATTTTTATTAAGAACGTATTTATCAGAAGCATAGCCGCTGCATATTTTTATACTTATTTTTGCTTAAGTATATATAGAAATTATAATTTCAAATCAGAAGTTCATGGAGTTAACATATTTCCTCCAACATAATCGCTCACTTAAATATACGAACGAAATAGACAAACCTCTTGCACCATATAAATCGCTGGGTGACATCGGCTTGAGATCAGCACTTATCCTAAAGAGGCAGAAAATCAGTTAATGGTGCACCAGTAGATCCGAAATACAGGGTAGCTAGCTTTCGTAAGGGTAGCTTGGCTCTAGGTTGCGACACTCTCGGCCAGCGTACTTTGTGGTTCTTATGTTTAAGCAGCTTCCTTCTGTTACATGTCATAACAAAAAAAACAGGTGAGATTTTAGTTAAGAATTAGCTGAGAATAGTAAATATTAAATGCAGTGCAACAGGTCGTATGAGCGATAAACAGTTTTTTCGGTCTTGTATCCCGCTCAGGTAAAGTATGACATTGATCATTAATATCATCAATATTGACTAAGACTTTTTTGATATCAAATATTATTCATTCAAAAAAATATAAGCCCCAATACCTACAACTACGATTGAGCATAAAATGCTCGATATTTATAAACAAATATTTCGACAGAGGCATTCCTTTTTGGATTATGGAATGTCTGTAGTTCCATTATATTTAACTACCCAAAAAAATCACTGAACTGCGATCT